GCTAGTAGGGGGTGGGGATGGTAAAAAAAAAAATTAAAAAATTTTAATGAAAAAATTTAAAATTTTGTTAATTTTTTTTTTTTGGGATGAGGTGTGGGAGGGTGGTGGTGGTAGGGGGTGTGAGTCGAGTCAAGTAACTTATCCATTTTTATTTAACTCATTTTTTGATCGACTCATATTCAACTCAACTCGCTCGTTTGCCACTCCTAGTTTTGAGCATCATAAAACGTCACGAGGGTCAAATTATGGATAGTGCTGGTCATCTGCCCTTTGCCTACATTACAACTGCAGTCCGGTTCAATGCGGGGCAGGGCGGGTTGAAAATTAAAAAAATTGTTATGTGGGATGGATTAAAATTTTTGCGGTTTAAGCTCAATCCCGGCCCCACCCCACACCTCCCCATTGTTATCCCACTCAAGGATAGTTCTGAGCGTCTTGCAGAAGAATTGAGTGGTATTGTTCCATTATTGCCAAAGGAAAAGAAAGCATCTGTGTTGCTGCCCCTACTGGCAACTCCCATCTTGGGTGACAAAGAAGGATATTTGAAGGCACGCAGAGGCGAATTTAGAATTTCTAAACCAGGTGACAATAGGGATATTTGAATTGAAGGTCGTCTGGATGCTACAGACACATGTGGACAAGGGGGTATTGTGCAAGCAGCTGAGAATGATTTGCGGGATGCTACACAGTTGAATTATGACTACAGAAATTCTTTTGTGGTCTGTGTTGCAACATATACTACAGGGGCCAGAAGAATGTCACTTGCCCTTTTTGGTGCTACTCATTTTGTTCCATCCCAGCAAGAACAGCTTTGTACTATTTGTGATCTTCATTTGTAGGAACAGATGCCGCTGGCGCTGGCGTACTTTGTGATCCTTGAGCCAAGGGTTTATAAAAACAAATTCTCTACCTCCACAAGGTATGGGGATTGGGGAAGTTCTGTTTACTTTACACTCTATCCTACCTTATGGATTACACTAGATATGCTGTTGTTGTTGTTTAGTTCTTTTGACCGTCATTCAAAAGCTTCTGATACTACAATTAGAAGTTAAGCATGAGTATGGACAGATCTGCATTTCATCAAATCGTACATCTGGTTTATATCTTCTTACAGTCTAGATGCCTATACCAATATGAAGAAAACTCAAATCTCCAATGACATTATCTGATATTATTTTCAATAACAACAACATACCCAGTGGAATCCCACATGTGGGGTCTGAGGAGGATAGAGTGTACGCAGACCATATCACTACCTCGTGGAGATAGAAAGGTTGTTTCCGATAGACCCTCAACTCAAGTGTCATTATCTGATATTTTTTATTCATTAAAATTCAGTGATTTCAGCTTCAACTTTCAACTATAGAGAAACTATAGTTCTAGGATTTGAGCTCTGAGGTTTCTCTAAAGAACCTTTCATGAAGATCCAATGACCACCAAATGTAATCAAAATTGGGTAGATTTCCTAATTAAGTATCGCGCAAGTAGCACTCCACGTTCATAACAAGTTTTTTGCACAAAAATGGAGACATCAATCACATTCGAAGATCAATAAAGTCATACGAAGTTATCAAACCAAGACAAGAAATTCAACTGCCTTTTTAGTTCCTTTTCAAAGTACACCAAAATTCAACAACACTCAAATTCTTTCAAACAAAACAATGCTTCTACAAGGTTTATTTTCCTACATAGATAAGTGATAACTGCTAACTGTTACAAATCCAACACAAATAATGCTCTACTCTATATACACCAAAACAAAACAAATACTATAAAGAGAGTCAAGAAACAAAAACCAAACACTGCCGGTCAGACCTCCTCAGAAGTACACGATTTCAACTTCAAGAACCAATTTAAGTTTTTTTCCCCACCCGATGTCCAGAGCCTGCACTGGAGCCACGACTAAATCTAGACCACACACTGCAAGGCTCATTCAGGAATGATACTTTCTCCATACCCAGAGCTCGAATCTGAGACCTCTAATAAAGGGTGGAGCAGTCCTACCACTGCACCCACAACCTAGTTGGTCAATTGATGTTACTATTACACAAAGGCATATAGCTCAGGAACAAAGGAAAACCATCTGAATCCACAACTCCATTTATCAGGCAATGAAGGGCATTTAGGAAGCCAATGCCAAGTCCTTCTAGAAACCTTATAATACAATATCTCAGGCCAAGAATAACAACAAACACAAATCAACCCTTTATGCCAAAAACAATAAACATGTTCATAGTTATGATAACAAACAGATAAAAACTTCCTACAAATCAATTCAGGCACATTCTCAACTTCAACCCAAATCTTAGAATCCCCATTCAATTCCCACAACTTCATGCTTCTTGAAATCCCATTACTCCCATTTCCACTAACCAAGAACATTTTTTTATCCCCATCACACACCAATCTAGCAAAAGTAACCTCACTAGGCAGCTCAAAATTTGATCTTTTCCACACCCCATTATCAAGATCCATACAAACTGTAAAATAAGGCTCTGGTGTAATAAACCACAAATACCCATCATGAAAAACCCCCTCTTGATGATGATTCTCATTTAAAATCAGATCAAATCCACCAAATTGACTCCAAGAATGAACCAAAGAATCATAAACAAAAACTTGACTTGAAGATCCAAAAGCAGACATCACAAACAGCTTATACCCATTATTAGATGAAGAAATCAAAGTAACAGACTCAAAAGAAAAAGGCAAATTTGGGTATTTTACAACCCTAGAAGATCTAGCTAAAACATTAGTTATAATGAAAGAACTAGAATTTGAACTATTGAAACAAAGCAAGCCATTAGAAGAAGATAAAAGAACAGAGGAAGAAGATGGCAAAACAGGGGAAATACACAGAGATAAATTCCGCCAGTTGTTATGAACAGTATCGAATAAAGGGTATTGTCTAGGGAATTGTGGATGTGAAAGTAAGAAAAATGAAGAAAAAGGTGAAGAAGAAGAAGAAGAAGAAGAAGAAGAAGATTTAGAAATGAAAGGGGGTGAAAAAAGAAGAGTTTTGAAATGCTTACAAGTTGATCTGAGTTTCAAGAATGTTTTTAATGGAAGAAATGAAAGCAAATGCTCTAATACATCTTCTGGTAATCGACTCCATATTTTGGGATCCATTTGATTTGATTGTATCATTTTCTTGTTTTCCATTGTTAGTGAATATCTGTTGTAGTTCATTTTTGTCGTAATGCTCTGTTTTTGTGAAGAACAAATTTGGACGCTTTTTTAAGTTCTTGTGATTTGGTAAGCAACTCGTTTTGGATTTTGACAATTTTGTGATTTTCGAGGTGCTAAACAAGATAACTAGAAGTTTTAAACACAAATGGACAATTAATAAATGACATAATACATGAATAACGTGTAATTTAACTTGGCTTTATTTAATATTTATGTCTTGATAATGTTTTATTTGATGTTTTATGTGTATTATATTATGAAGAATATGTGTATCTAATATTTGATTTTATACAAATTTAAGTATTTAGTGGTGTGTATCGGATCAAATTAAAAAATATGTGTATTATCTCATTGATTAATACATTCTCCATTTTAGTGATTGTCCCCCTTTCTTTTTTAATCTAAAGATAATTATGTCTTTTTATGATTTTTAATTTTGTATGTGGGGTGACATAGATATAGACTACTATGTTAGTTTGAATTTATTTTTTTCTTAATCTTTTTCTAGTTTGTTTAAAAAAAATATCTATTTGTTTTGAAAACTTTTTAATTTTGTTTTTTGATATGATATGTTTAATATTATAAAAATAAATGACATTTTGGTACATTATTATTAGAAGATCAAAAAGCTTTTATTATTTTCTTAAATATCGTATTAAATTTAAAACAGACAACTAAATTAAAGTAAAAAAAATATGCATATCTTTAATATAAGACAATAAAATTTTAAAAATTCTTTTATTTTCCTAAACTTCGTAAAATCATAAACAAATTAAAAGATGAAATTTATTTTTAGTTTAATAATTGATACTGATGCTGGTCAGTTTTTTTTTTAATTGTAAAGGGAAGTTGAAGTTGACTTGAAGATTGAAAATGAAAGTGTGAAATGATGATGCCAAAGTTCGATAGATTTGAACAGATCACATCGACCATTTGTCTGATTTTGACCACCTAAAATTTTATAATTTTATTTCATTTATGTGATCAAATATTGAATAGGAAAAAGGGCAAAATAGCAGTTATTGCAGGACAAATAGGTTGTACCTATTGGAAAAATAAATAAATTAGCTATTTATTACGTAAATATAAAAATAAAAGATATTCAGTTTAAATTATAAAAAAAATCACAAACTGTAACAACTAAATTAAAGTAAAAAAATCACAAGCTATAACATGATTATTCTAAGTTCACTTCATATAAAATTTAAGTTAGTAGGAGAATCTTAATAGCTCAAATAATTGATTATTTAAATTTTTATTTTGTTAATGACGATTCAATTCTTCACCTCATATCTTCTCCTCGTTTTTTCTTTCCTTACCCCTGATTTTAGTTTTTAATATCAGTAGATAATTTATGTTGTTTTTTTTAAGCATTTGAGATTAGAAGAGTAAAAGAAAGACAAAACAGAAGTGATAGGGGACCAACATGGACTGTGATGTAATGGTGAAATTGCTTCATTCTTAATTAAAGGTCTCGGATTCAAGTCCTGAATATAGAGAAAATCCTGTTGAGAGTGTCACCCCGAAATGGAACCTATTATACGCGATTTAGATTTAGTTAATATATGCAATATATTTGTTATAAAAAAAAAACATATAATTTTAGTGACATTAGTATGTGATGTAATGATTGAGGGTGTTTCTTCCTTTTAATTTGAATAGAGAATGCTATTCTCAAATTTAAATAATCGAATATCAATGTGAATATTAAACATCAAATAAAATGCTCATTATTTTGGCCGGCCTATGTTATTTATGGCTAGATTCGGTATTTTCTGACTTGGACCATATTTTTAAAATTTTGCTATTTAAAGAAAAAATTAGTACTCAAATGTGTTCATAAATTTCACAGAGACTGTACCAAACACAGAAAAATCATAGGGAGGAGTAATATCTATTTTTTATATAGGGAGGAATGGAAAAAGACAAAATTAAATAGGGTGCAATTTTTCTACCCACTTTGCTCAACATGTATTGGTACCCACACGTTCCTGTATAATCATATTACAATAGGATATTTGCGTACCTAATTGTTCAATTTTTATATATATTTAACTGTTTTTTTTATGTGTATTCAAAGTTAGAGCACATAAATGTCAAATAAATTCAGATTAAAAGATATATTTATCAAGCTAAACTAAGAACACTTTCTTATCAAAATTGATACTACAAATACTAATAAAATTTGAACTTATAACATTGATTCACGTTATCTCAATTTGCTTATTTTTAACTATTAAAGTTCCGTTTGATACGGCGTATAAAAATAATATTGATACTTAATTTTTAGTAGCATATATAATGTTTGGTTGTAAATTTACGTTTGATATGATTGATATATGTTTTAGTCATATATCTTATTTGATACCATTTTTATATATAATAAACTAAGGCATATTTAACAATACATGAGTTTATTCCTATTAATACATCCTATTTATTTAATTTATACAAAAAATCAAACAGACGATAGAAAATAATATCAACATAATTAATACTTTCTCCGTTTCTTTTTTGTGTTTCATTTTAGGAAAGTAAATTTGACAAATTTTTGAAACTAGATTGGAGTAGATTAATTTAATATTTAAAATTTAAATTTAGATATTTGAAAACTATATAAAAAATAATATAAATTATAATCATTCTCATATAAATATGATAAAAATATATCTGTAAAAGTTAGTCGAACTCGATCTATAAAATTTGACTCTTGAAAAACAAAACATATGTCCGTAGCTTTGTGCTTTCTCACGCCTAAAGAAATGAACAAAAGAATAAGGATAAAAGCAAAGCTAGAATAAATCCTTTTTTTTCCTAATAAATTATTTTTATTTAACCATATGATATTCTAGATATATATTAACTTGACTAGTTTGAGTTCACATCGTGTTAGTATCCCATATTGAGCATGGATTTGGTAATTTGTTTTCTAATATAGTCTCGAACCATCTTTACTTTATGAGTTAATTTTTAGTATTGACTATTGAGTTAAGTTTAAAATCTACTCTTTTATTATAATATCACAATTAGTCTTCATCTCATTAGTTAGTTTTTTAAAAAATAAGTTAAATTCAAGGTCCATTTTCCTTTTAACATCGTGAATAAACTCATTTAGGGATATATATTATTTACTACAAAAAATATTGTTTTTCATCCCTAAAATAAAACTCGAGATTTTGGGCTATAAGTGATGGATTCCAATCATCATAACCAATTAATTGTTAATAAATGAAATGAAGCCGAAGCTAATGTGAGGAAGATATAGATAGACAAACAAGTATAATGAGCATGTAATTTTTAGTTAATATATGACATATCTTTGTTTATATATATATATATATATA